AAGAGATGGATGATAAAGATGGCCAAGGGGTTAGGAAGGCTCAGAGGGCATTTTGAGTAGCTGGGGAAGACATTCTAGGCAGCCAGGCCTCAGTGGGTACTTTTCTTTCCCTGATTATTCTTCTATTATCTTATTAGCCTATATGCTGGAGTATGTCCAGATATTTGGAGGCAGTGGGCAGGTGTCCAGAATCTATGACCAAAGTCAGCCGCATGTATTATACTCATACAAAGGAGTTTAGCTATGAAGTATGTGGAGGGGAAGCCTTATCATTGAGTGACCCCTCCAAGTTATGATGTTCAGATTGTAGAATTGTGTCTGAAGGACGGGGCCTTCACTCAGAGGGGCACCCAAATAGAAGTATGTGGGCTGATGTAGGATATAGGTCCATCAAAGCAACAAAGGACTCTGAGCAGGGATAGCAAAATCTGCCACTGTCAGCCCCCAACTGCAAACCCATCGCCAGTTCTGTGGGACCTGAGGTTTGAGCACAGTATCAAAGCCCTGTTGGCTATGCATTTGGTCTCCATTCTGACAACCTTGGGGATTTTATTGCCCTCCTTAGAGGCCATTCTAATTGTTTAGCTTCACAGTTGAGCATCTTCTTCACTGAGGTGAATCCTAAAAGCTGGGCTCATTTCTTCTCATCTCTGTGCATAAAGTTTAATGGGTATACAATCTTTTAGCTTTTCTTCTGTGTCTGAAAAGTTGTGATAATAAAAATAACAATGGCTACAAGCTTGTGTGGAGTTAATTATTTTAAGTGAGCAAAGAAGACCAAACACCTGAGACGAAAATGGCTCAGAAATTGGAAAGAAAGCATTCTGCTCTGCTGCAGTTGGTTGGTATTTGGCTTTTTTATTTTCCTCCTGAGTAACATAAGAGCCATTCAGCTCAGAGGACGTGAACATCCTGTACAGGAAATAGATGGCGTATGGAGGGGGTGAGGGGGGCACCTGGCAGTCATTCTTTGAATCCTTCAGTGAGTGTCACTTAAATATATTATAGAAGCAAGTAAAGGACTGGAAAACAGGCTCTGCTTGGATGGCTTCCAGCACACTTCACAAAGCTCAGGAAAAGCTCAGCTAAGCCACATGCATTTTATGTTTTCCTGAGGAAAGACTCTGCTTGTTTGGTCTCAGGGTTAAGGGGTTTCAGCAAGTTTTTATAGAGACACTAAAACATTCTCTTTATATTTCCCTCTGTCACTGAAAGGAACCCAGAGGGATAGAATCGAGGATGTGGGCACTTAAGTGTCTGCTGAGCCAATTAGCTCCCAGAGAGTTGTTGGTGCAGTGACTATATAGTGGTGAACCCCTAGCCACCTAGCTTCATTGGGGTGTGTGTGTGTGTGTGTGTGTGTGTGTGTGTGTTGTATAAAATCTTAGTTGAAATTTGAAGAAATTAAACTCAGAAGAGTGGATGTGTGCATTTCAGGACTTCTTATTTTGACCAGATAGCCCGGAATGAACACCACTTCATCCCTGCCAGAAAATGTGCTTTATCATGAGAACAAAGTGGAAATTGTGAAGTAGGGAGAGGCAGGAAGGTGAGGGGGAAGTGACAATGGTCTTAAGACTGTCAAGAGCTGTAACTTTTTTTTCTTTTCCCAAAAATATTTTTGAGGAGAAAACTAAAGCATTTGCTGTTCCTTTGTGAGAATGATTTGGAATGCTCACTGAAGCAAAAAGGCCATTTATGAACTGACTCCAGCCTTTCTTTGGCCTGTCATACACCATTGTGTTTATTTGAGAACCTGAGATTTACAGTGAGTGAATATTAACAGGGACCAGAACCTGTAGTCATTGCAATTTGCATTTGCCAGTGCAGTTTTTTCTGTATCTGCTGAACTTAAATTGTTTCTTGGCCAGAAAAAAAATGTAATGTTACCTTTCTCACTTATACTTTTCTATAGGAAGCTTCCTACTATATTTAAGGCATTCTACCTCACTCACAAACTTGTATTTTTCTTGTTTAGAATTAATGTTTTATTATACTGCCATCTGCCTTAAATTTTAGCCATAAAAAGTATATATAATTATAGTAAATGGTGACACTGGAATACTGTTAGCATTAGGCAAGCAGCTAACAATGCTCCTAGGTTTAAAATATCAATGTATTTTTTTTCCAGGCTTTCAGCTTTATTCTATTAAGACTAGAAATCAGACTCCCTTTTTTGATCTGATTGCAATTTATGCGTAAGAATCAACTGGTTAAGTAAGTGTGAGAATAGGTTTGGAAGTGAGTAAGGAAATTATCCTGGTGCCAATGAAGAAATGTGCAAAGAAAGATCTTCAAGAAAAACCAAGAGCTATATTAAATTTTAGCTGTCACTGAGTGTCTTTCAAGAGAAGTAAGTGTACCCTTAAGTTAATTTTCCACTTTCTAATTAGGAAGAGCATATCACACCCTTGACCAAGTTACTGATCTCTTGACACAGAGAGTATGATGCAAGGTGCCTAAACAACCAGCACACACTATGTGTAAAACCATATAGATCAGGTACTTGAATGGAATAGTGACAACCTAGCTCTAATTCAGCCTAATAAGGCAGCGCCACCTACTGCACACAAGCTTTATTTTATTTATCCATAATAAATATGAGCTGAACGGAAACAGCTTATGAGATCTTGAGGATTTATTTCTGCAGAGAGGTGGCCAAGTCTCTGAATAGAAGCTGATCTCTACAGATCTAAGCACAAAACAAAATCATTTTGCAGTCTGTTCTCTTCTAAGATGTAAATCTGGGTCAATTTATTGAAATATTTGTTTTCCTAGTGTATATATGTATGTGTCAGTGAATCAATATATGCATGTAAACATTCATATAGGGAATAATAGAGTGGGAGAGAATGGGAGCTAGAAGAATGTAAATATGAAAAAAATAGGAATAAAGAACATTCCTTTTAGATGTCTACTGATGTGTCTTTTATTCTGAAAATAAGTCTGATGTACCTTCATATGCCCTTTTACATATACTAATGACATAAAAATTAATAATTAGTCAATGCTTGTTTAAATTGAACCATTGTTTAAATTTCATCCTAGGCTGCCCACAAGTGAGTCCTTCATTAAATGATTACAGATTTAATAGGCCTTCGTCGTATTCCCCTTTCTCTAGAGTTTTTTTATTCCTATGGTAACACGTAATTCTACAATATTTTAAAATAATAACTCATAATGTTCCTAATGTATTTTGCATTGTTGAATCACATAAGCATTTACATGAAGTATTAACAAGAGCACATTTTTTTATTAAGTTGGGGTCATTAATTCTTTCAACCATTTTGGTTTATTTCATTTAGTCTATTACAACACAACATAAAATAACTATGTGACGGTAGATATGGTACAATAGTGATTATGATTTTTTTTATCATTCCCTATAACTCTTCCAAGGTCTGAACTGGTTATTGGCCATTTACATCATTCACAGTGAAGCTTACACTTTTGTGCTGAGAAGATCATATCATTTCAGATCCTGAATTATAATTTCCAACATACTTTCATTTCTATTAAATTCCTTTGTCATACTACTATTTATTTATTTATATGTTAATGGAATGTCACACAGTCTGGAATGTATAGTATTTGACATTTTTCAGGGTCTTGATTTCCAATAAAATATAATATAACTTTTTTCCATATCATATGCCAACATCATGATTATGTAATTGAAACAAGTCAGGTATCTAGACATACAAAAAACACAGATGGTTTCTTTTGTATCCTGATTTGAAGAAAGCCTATTTGAATTGTCAAAAACTTGATTTTTTCATATTTGTCTATATCTTTAAAAACTTTTGTTATGGGGTGCCTGGGTGGCTCAGTTAGTTAAGCGTCTTGCCTTTGGCTCAGGTCATGATCCCAGGGTCCTGGAATGGAGCCCCATATCAGGCTCCCTGCTCAGTGAGGAGCCTGCTTCTCCCTCTGCCTGCCGCTTCCCCTGCTTGTGTTCTCTCTCTCTCCCTCTGTGTAAGTCTCTCTCAAATAAATAAAATCTTTAAAAAAAATAAAAATAAATAAATAAAAAACTTTTGTTATACTTAGTGTAACTTTACTCATTCAATTAAAACTGAATATCTGTTAAATGTTAGACTCTATGCTAGGCTCAAGGATTAAAACATAAATTCCCTGCTGTCAGTGAGCTCCCTTTCTTGCAGAGCAAATAGTGTGTGGATAGTTCTAGAACAGTAAGAACAAGGAACTGTGGGCACAAAAGTAAGTAACCCAAACTTCAATAAATGAGGTGGTAGGGGTGGGTGGGAGCAGGATGGGAAAATACACATTGTTCAGTTCACCTGAGACTCAAGACTGCAAGTGAGGATTGTTCTGAGAGGTGAGACTAGATAAGTAGGCAGAGTTCAGGTAATGGAGGCTGTTTTATGCTTTTGGACTTTATTCTGAACGCTTTAGTGTTTTTAAAATGTTTAAAGTAGGGCAGTGAGGGAGTGAATGATGGGATGAAATTCAACTGATTAGAAAGACCCCTCCAGAGACTCCGGGGACACTGTTGAGAAAGGGTTCAAGTAGGGCGTGACTAGAAGGAGAGGGGTAGTAACTGATCCAGAGAATATTGAGAAATGATGAAGGCAGAGGGCAAGGGGACGGTGAATGTCTGGGGGGTTCCATAATGGTAGAACTAATTCAACGTCCCAACAAATGTAAAAACTGTAGAAGAAGTCCAGGAAAACTGGTTTCCAGCATGGGAAGAGTTTGGTGACACCATCCACTAGGCCACAGGCAGTCTCCAGCCTGGAGGCGAGCAGGCCAAGGAAAAGTTCTACTGTACGTATGGTAAGTATACCCAGCCGAGAGATCCAGCAGGCAGCTGGCTGCAGACATCTGGAGTTCAGAGGAGAGATGTGGATCAGAGCTCTTCAAATCGAATCATTGTAAAGCCTTATAATGTGTGTACCTTGACTAAGAAGAATTAACTTGTTCCATCCTCCAAGACCTTCATCTATCCCACTGTTCTCACACCCCCTTCCTCCCTGCAGAGGACTGGTATGAACAGCTATATCCCCTCATCCTTACCCTGAAGGACTGCATGGGAGAAGTGGTGAACCGAGCCAAGCAGTCCCTGACATTCGTGCTCCTTCAGGAACTTGCATACAGCTTGCCCCAGTGCTTGATGCTGACGCTCAGAAGGGACATCGTCTTCAGCCAAGCAGTAGGTGCCTCTTGGGAGCACAGCACGGGGCTGGGTGGCTAAAGTGTATCCGTGGTGATGGTAGAGGTCTTCCTTTGGTAGTTTAATTTTTAAAGGGATTCTTTGCTTAAAGTTTTGATATCAGTTTTCCTTATCCATAATAACTATGAGCTGAACAGAAACAGCTTATGAGATCTTAAGGATTTATTTCTGCAGAGAGGTGGCCAAGTCTCTGAAATGTACGTCTGTTTCATGGTGCAGAGAGTCAGTGAAGAAAAGGCCGCCCATCCTGTCATCATATTATGCCCTGGGGTCTCCACACAGAGCACCGTGGGAGTAAAGGGGTGGCTGCCTTGCACAGAGGTGGCAGCTGGGACTGGCAAAAGGGATCCATTTGCAATCTCCCATTTATACAGCTCCCTAATGAATCCCAGGGCTGGGCCTCATAATGATCCCCTGTATGTTTTGTTTGTCTATAAAATAAGTTCACAGGGCAGTAATGCTTAAAGGCAAGATTTAACAGGACCACCTCCATTGCCTTCACCCAACCTATCTCATGACATCGAGGCTGGTCTCCATCAAAGTGGCTGTCCTGGGGCCCTTTCTTCCCCCTTCTGCGTCCACACCCACAACTGGTTTTAGAGACATAAGCCTGGAGGAAGGGAGACAGAAGGAAAGGGAATATTTTAACCAAACTGTCCATGTCCCCCCTAGTTTGTGGATGTTTCACATACTTGAAAAATTTTAATTAAATCCATGACGCCTCAAAAATCTTAAATATTTTTCAATTAAAGTTTGTTGACTCCAGTCAATTTTTTCAATGACTTTTTTTTTTTTTTTGAGCTTGCTGGATTGGTTTGTGGTTTTATCATCAAATTACACACAAGTTTGCATGACCCTGGCTTCCTACAGCAGCTTCACACAGTGGGATTGATAGTGCAATATGAAGGACTACTAAGTACATATAGTGAGTATTGCTTTAGTACATGTTAAAATCATATTCTCATTCATAAGGATATTTGATCCATAGATTCTGCCATTAAACATAAAAATGCAAAATAAACCTTTATGACCTAAGCATTACAGTAATAATGTAACTTTCAGTTCTTTGCATTCATTCACCTTGTAACTGTATTCTTACCCCCATTATGTTTTGAAAATGGAATTATAGATTATTTCATGGAGTATGAATAGTGGAGTCCTGAGCAGCCGTCTGGCTTTTTTAATATAAAAGGCTCTCTGCCAACATAGTTTCAATGACTGGATTTTTAAAGTCCCAACTCTCTAATGTCTAGAACTGCACTACTTAATACATAGCCTGGTGTGGCTATTGAGCACTTGAAATGTGACTAGTCCAAATCAGTATGTACTATACATGCACGCCAGATTTCAAAGACTAGTAAAAACTAGTTTTATATTAAAAATTAATAATTTTACATTGATTTATAATTGAAATGATATTTGGGTATATTGGATTAGAGTAAAATACATTATTAATATTGATTTCACCTTTATAAATTTTACTCTTTTAAAAATATGGCTACCAGGAAATTTAAAATTATTTATGTGACCTTCATTATTTTTCTATTGGATAGTGTAGCTCTATCTCTATTTCTAGAAATCAAATATCACGCCTGTCAATGGAAAGAGAGCTGCATGATACTCTGTTTCATAAAGGAGTTAACACCTTTCTATAGCCTTCCAGCAAATGTATACATCCTTCTTTCCCTCCAAGGGTACTTGGACTGCTGGAGTCCACTGAAATGGTCCTTATTTCACTGGTGAAAACCTTCAGCCTCTGAGGAAAAGTGTTTAGAATATATTCACTGCATTCAGAAAATCATTCACTAAAATGCTAGAACAAATCCCAGCAGGGAGAGGTAGTACCAAATGACATTTTCTTTAAATAGTATGTTTGTAACAATGTTCCTTTTCCCTTGTGTAGGTGATGAAATCGGAATGCTAGAGGACATGGCTGTTGGCATTTCAGATTTGAAGAAAGTCGCATTTAAAATAATTGAAGCCAAATCCAATGATGTCTTGCCAGTTATAACAGGAAGGCGGTAAGTGGCACCCATTTCCTTGAGACCAAGCTTTGTTAGATATTTGTCTTAACTCCTGAAGGAGCCAAGGAAAATTAAGGTTTGGGTTGGAAAATTTTCTTTTCCCTATTTGGTAGAGAAATGAATGTAAGTGACATAACAGGGAAAGATCTTGAAAAACTCCTAGAAGGCTCGTGAATGTTTATATATTTGTATGGTAGTGAGGTGAGCATGGTAATGCTCCCCCATGAAATATGAGGCATTCAAAAGAATAGCAGGCATGAGAAGAACATTTTTCTCTTTATTACTATCTAGTCCAAAGCTCTGGGTGTTTTTACTTTTGCTGGAATCATTTGGTTAATAGTGTCATAATTCTTGAAATGACTTTATATTAAATTCTGTTAAAAGCAGCAACATTTTAGAAAAGATCTATTTCTGTGTCAGGGGCACATACCACCATTTTTCTTAATTATTTTTGACAATTCACTCACAGACCAAAATTTCCGAGAATGGTTTTAAATAAATAGCTTTGAAGGTCAGTGAATGATGGGCAAAATATCAGAAATAATTAAGAAAAATGATGGTGCATAGCATAGACCTCCAACAGAAGAGTTATAGCCTATGGTAAATCATTTCAGTCAGAAGTCCACCAAATTGTAACCATTCTGCCATTTGCGCTTTTAAATGCTGCATGAGGACATATGAAATTTGAAACATTCTTAGATCACAATGAAAAACTATGAATGTGCTAAAGAGAAAGCCCTTTTCAGGCTGGAGAGAGATGGAGAAGAAAGTAAGGATAAAAGCTCAAACTAAACTTGCTTTCTTGTGTATAGTAAACATACGATGGTTATTTTAAACTTTGTATGAAGGATGCGCAGAGAAACATGATTGAATAAAAGGTGACTATTTCATAAATCAAGAAAAATATCCTCATAAAACTAAATATTTCATATGTGAGCTAGTGCTTAATTTTCCATGTACTGGAAGAAAGAATAAAATTGCTCATATACACACCTGGAAAATAGTACCACTCTGTATTATCAAAAGTGGGGATTATCAAAAGTGGGAAACTGATACTTCTATCATAATTGATACAGGAAGTTTCTCAGGCCATTTGGTATAGTAGAGTACAGATGCTTTTTCTGAGGGAGTTTGCAGGTTGTTTCTAAATTCAAAAGTTACAAAACAGGTGTGAGTAGAACTCACAGAATATGGCAAAGTGAGCAGTCTGGCAGACCCTCTCTCCAAACAGCAACATTGCAATTGGACAGAATTCCCAAAAACAGCCATCTTGAGACAAAGGAAATAAGTCAAATGTGCACACAAACTTACAAATACTTATTAATGAAAAACCAGTGGACATTGGTTAAGGCACATGGTGTCCATGGCACTCCTGCGCAGAGTTGCTCCCCTAAAACCCAGCTTGGTCAGCGCAGTTTTACTGGGGTAACGACAGGCTGAAGAGACCAGCAGTTTCACTTCCAGAGGGGGCTGACTTGATTTGGATTGGAAAGCAGAAGAAAACACACTCCTGAAAAGTTGTTGGAAACAGTGGTGATTTAGATAACAATTTCGTTCACAATAGCATCAAAAAGAATAATTACATCAGACCAGATTTAACAAAGTACTCTTAAGAATTGTACACAGAACACACAAAATCGTGCTTGGAGAAATTAATAAGATCCAATGAACAGAAAGACAGTCTGTGTTCCCAGATTAGGGTACTTGATATTGTTTAGATGGCAGTTCTCCACAAACCAATCTATAGATTCAGAGCAATTGCTTGCTAAATCCCAGTAGTCTTTTGTGCAGAAATTGGCAAGCTAAACCTAAAATTTGTATGGAAATGCAAAGGACCCAGAATTCCAAAAACAATTTTGTAAAAGAACAAAAGAAGACTTACACTTTCTGATGTCAAAACTTAATATAAAACCACAATAATGGAGACCTTCTGTTACTGGCATAAGTATACACATATAGATCAACGGAGCAGACTTGAGAGCCCAGATGTGAACTATTACCGTTAGGGTCAATTGATTTTTGACAAAGGTGCCAAGGTCATTCAACGGAGAATGCAGAGTCTTTTCAAAAACTGTCGCTGTGACAATTGGTTATCCATATGCAGGAAAAGTCATTTAGAACTTCAATTTATGCCATACACAAAACTAACTCACAATGGATCATTGGTCTGAATGTAAGAGCTAAAACTATGAAATTTACAGGAGAAAATATTTGTAATTTGGGTTAGGGAAAGATTTCTTAGATAGGACCCGAAATTCTAGATTCATAAGATACACAATTCCATAGATAGGATTTAATCAAAATTATAAACTTTTAAGGAGCAAAAATATGATCAAGTAAATGAAAAGACAAGCTGCAGATTGGGAAAATAAATGCAAATCATTGACCTGATAAAAGGCTTGTATCCAGAATATATAAAGAAATCTTACAACTCAATAATTATGAGACAAAAACCTAATTTAAAAACGGGCAAAGCATTTGAATAGATATTTTGCCAGATAAGATATATGAGTGGCTTAAATGCCCATGGAAATATGGTCAACATCATTAGGCATTAGGAGAATGCAAATTAAAACCACTGTTAGATACCACTTCGCTCACAGTGGAAATCGTCATTAACAAAAAGTCAGACAGTAACAAGTGTTCACGAGGATGTGGAAAACCTAGAACCCTCATACATTGCTGGTGGGCATGTAGAGTGGTGCTGCCACTTTGGAGACAGTTTAGCAGTGTCTTAAAAAGTTAAACCTAAAAGTACTATATGATCCTTAGGTATATATATCTAAGAGAAAATGAGATCATATGTCCACAGAAAAACTAATGTATGAGTGTCGATGGCATTATTCATAATAGTCCAAATTGCAAAGTATGCCAAGTAGCCATCAGCTTGTGAGGACGTAGGCAAAATGTGGTATATCTATACAACAGAATGCTATAAGTAGGAATAAAAAGGAATAAACTGCCAATACATGGCACAACATAATGACTCCAAAGTCATCACACTAAATGAAAAATGCTAGATACAAAAGCCTACTTTTTATATGATTCTGTTTATGTGAAATAGGTAAAAAAGTAAAATCTGCCGAGACAGGAAATAGATCAGTGGTTTCCCGGGGCTGGCCGTGGGATTGAGGTGTGAATGCAAACAGGTATGAGGGATTGTTTTTAAGGTGATGGAAGTGTTCTGAAACTGGAGTATAGTCAGGATTGCACAACTCTATAAATTTGCTAAAACTCTGAATTATACACTTAAAATGCCTGAGTTTATGCCAGTTCTATTTAAATAAAGCTGACAGAAAGTTACCGTAAAACATTATAAAATGTTTCACCTCCAGAGCAACCTTTACACATGGACAGATTCATTAATTCTTCTCATATTCTTGAAAGACTTGAAATAAATAAACATCAGCCCTGTTAGCCAGGCTTTTGTAAAGGGCACTGAGAGCAATTTGAAAAAGAAAAATAATGTGTCCCTTCATCTGAGGGTAGTGCTAACACCCCTGCTTGCTGGATTCGTGGTATTTCCTAGTTCTCTGGTTTGAAGCTCAGGTAAGAAACAAATCTGAGTCCGTCATCCGGAGTAGTATGTGTCAGTAGGGTTATACTAGAAAACTAAAAATATTTTTACAAAGAGACTCACTAATTGTCCAGTGCTTCTTTTCCCAATAACATGTATTACAATCCCAGCACTATATATAATAGCTCCAGGAACACATGGATTTTCATAAATTCTGAGTGAAACTCTCTACATTTCAATACTCAGTTCACACTGCATCAGAAGATGTCAAGTTTAGGGGCATCTGGGTGGCTCAGTCAGTTAAGCAGCTGCCTGTGGCTGATGTCATGACCCTGGGGTTCTGGGATCGAGCCCCATGTCTGGCTCGCTGCTCAGCAAGGAGCCTACTTCTCCCTCTCCCTCTGCCTGCCGCTCCCCCTGCTTGTGCTCTCTCTCTCTCTGTCAAATAAAAAATAAAAAATCTTTAAAAAAAAAAAAGATGTCAAGTTTAAAAATTTACAAGCAGCTCTTCTCGTTGACCATGTTCTGTGAATCCTAACTCAAATTTTCAGCACTGAACATTAGGGGTAATTTTTAATGGAAATTTCCAATGAAAAAAAGCTGTTCCTGTGATATGCTAATGTTGCAAAAATGATCAGAAACCCCCAAAGGTTACATCTTAAGTAATGAAACCATTCCATTTCCATCAAGCCATCACAAACAGGGAGGTTCATCAAATAGTAACAATCAGGCCCTGCTCAAAGGTATCCTAAATGATTTGGTTTGTTAGTGTCCCTATATTGAAAAATCCATCATTACATTACTTTTCTTACTCTTGATTCTGACTGGGTTTTAAAAATGATTAAATCAAGAAAATAAATATTGAGTCTCTTATGCACGTGGCCCCTGCTATACAAATGAACTAAACATTCTTCCTTTCCTAAAGGAACTCAGAGTAATGGAGAAAAATTTTTAAAACTGTAAATAGTTCTTTATGCCAAGTAATTTAATAGTGAAGTGAACAAAATGATACCCCAATGAATTCATAACAGAAAATAAGCAAATAGCAGCCAACAACCTAAATCAGCTCTATATTCCAACTGTTTGTTTCTTTCCGATGACTCTAACATAACAACGAATGAAATAAGCTTCTCTTTGTCCTCCGCTGCCCTCAGGGAACATTACGTGGTGGAAGTGAAGCTTCCAGCTCGGATGTTTGAGGCACTGCCTTTGCAGATTAAAGAGGGACAATTGCTCCATGTGTGTCCAGTACTTTTTAATGTTGGAATCAATGAACAACAAACTCTTGCTGAGAGGTAAGCTTCAGGTAGAAAATTGGTACTTCAGTTGTTCTTTTCAGGTGTTATGGGTATGCTGAGCAATTCCCTATGCTCCTGCACACGAAACTCAGATAGACTCCTAGGTACATTTTCCTTTTTATCATACCAAGTCATTCGAGATAGCAAAGAGAAATATTCATATTTCAGGATTCCTGGCCCACATCAAATTTAAACGCGGCAAAGGAACAAGGAAAATATTGATGCCAATGCCAAATTACTTACATGGATTAACTTTCTTCACGGTTCCAAATACCGTGTGAGTGTATCCAATTATAGCATTGTTTACGTTCATATGTATTTCAGCATTGTAAACTCAGCCAATTGGGTCAAACTTTTCTGGACCTAAAACACTGTTATTTTTCCCTTTTGTTTACTACAATAGTTGTTACTGGGGGAGGTTAGCACATCTTTTCATAATAACCTGCTTAGTCAAACAACAGACGATTGTACACAGTCCCGTGAGTTACTGTCAAAAACACTTTTTTGTATCTTACATGGTTCAGTTGTAGAGATTATTGAAAATGTGAATAAGACTTAAAGTTCATAAAATACATTTTTAAGAGATTCTGGAGAAAGAAGTTGCTATCCTGCCGTGAGGCCTGGCTGGAGAAGTTCCCCGATGGGAAGAACTTTTGGAGAGTTTGATAGTCTTCCATATTTAAAATGCTTCTTGTCCATAATTCACTCTCCAAATGTGTCCTTCCCCCAAAGGTATCAGTTAAAAAGCACCTAGCATATTCTTTGCCATGACTTGATAAGTATGTGTTAAACCTGTATCGATGTCTTTTACTAAATTAAAAATGCCATTACATTTATGTCCTCCTGAATTTCAGTGATGGTCAAGGTGCCTGTTTTTATCCATTCTCTTCCAGTGGTTTTTCCTTCTCTCCCTCTTTATTTCCTGGACAGCATAGGTTTTCATAATTCTCACTTGTCAGTTACAAAATCAGGTGGCACCTTTATATTTCATTTTTAATTTCAAATTGTGTAGAAGCCATAAATCTCTTTTCTTATAGTATGCATAAATCAGAATATAATTTTATTCACTGTGTTGTACAAAAATTGAGCACTTCTCCACATTAATACCTAAAGTGAGATTGTAGTCCAGTCATCTGAATATATGTGCCTCATAGCAAGTCCAATGGTTGAGGTAAATGATATTTATGAACATAAATTGTTCAGTTTGAAGGGAAAAAAACAGCACAGTACCTTCAATTAATTGTCTCTTCTTTGATATACTAGATTACAGAGTGTTTTGGGTTTGAATTAATAAGTTAAGGCCTGTGAGTGTGGTCTTGAGAGAGACATGAGAGTCCCCATTTACAGACTTTTCAAGGAAATGTTAGCATTGTAGTTACCATTGTATTTTCAAGCCCTCTAAACTAGGTTAGATTGCATCATTTATGTCATCGTGACTATTTCAGTTGTTAGTCGCTTTATTTTAAAAAGTCCCTTCCATGGGGTGCCTGGGTGGCTCAGTCAGTTAAGCGTCTGACTCTTGATTTCAGCTCAGGTCATGATCTCAGTGTTGTGGGACTGAGCCCTGCGTCAGGCTCCATGCTGAACGTGGAGCCTACTTAAGTTTCTCTCTCTCTCCCTCTCCTTCTGCCCCTCCCCCCACTCGCACGCTCTCTCTCAAAAAAAAAAATGAATGAATAAATAAATAAATATAAAAAACAAAAGGTCCCTTCCTTTCCATTTCTCTTCTCTCTCTGGCATATTTTATCTATGTGTGTCTGTGTGTGCATGCACATACTTTTTTTCATATCTGGAAGCTGTAAAGACACTTAAGACTTGAAAAGGAGACAAAATGGCAAAGTGGAAAAAAATTCAAAGAGAAGCAGGAAGGCTGGCACTCTGATATCAGCCAACTACTGATCTGAGTAAATCACTTCCTCTCTGTTCTCTGAACCTTATTTCTCTGATTCTGAATTTTGAGCTTTATCAGGCAACATCTATCAGTTGGGTATGCTATGTAATCCAGTTGTAATATTTTACTACATATTTACCCATTGCCAAAATGTATGTTATGTGTATCCATTCTTAATTAAGTACTAATTACCCTGAGTCACCATAACAAAATACCTCACACTAGGTGGCTTAAACAACAGAAATGTATAGCTCATAGTACCAGAGGCTGAGAATTCCAAGGTCAAAGTTCTAGCCAATTTGGTTTCTGGTGAGAGCTCTCTCTGAGTTTTTCTCTGTGTGCTCACTTGACTTCTTTTTTGTGTACACAGAGAGAGTGAGCTCTCTGGTGTCTCTTTTTACAAGGACACACTAATCCTACTGCATTAGGGCCCCACTCTCATGACCTTTAATTACTTCCTTAGAGGCTCCATCTCCAAACACAGCCACTGGAGGTTGGCGCTTCGAAATGTGATTTTAGGGGGGAGGACACAAACATTTAGTCCATAACAGTGACATTACTCCAGCAAGGATGATATTTTAAAAATACCTTTTGATTATAATCTCTGAAAAAGTCTTAAGAGTATATTTCAGAGTTTAGAGAAACTGTCCTGTAGATTTTCCTGGGTCTATATTCCTATTCTCCAAGTTTAACTCAGTATAGATATTGAACACTGACCTTGCACCAGGCACTACTCTGTCCAGCTGTGGGACACAGGGAGCATGCAGTGTAACAAGATGAATGGACATGATCCCTGTCCTAAAAAAAACTTACCATCCCATAAGGAAGCCAGATCAACAAATAATACATTACAGTTTGACTCATGCAATAGGCAAAGATGTGGAAGGGGCAGGAATAATGGTGGAAAGGAAGTGATTCACAAAGGGGAGAGGAATTCATCAGTGAGATTTCATGGAGTAGATGAGCCTCTCATAAAGCCTGAAGGATGAATTGATCAGGCAGACAAAGAAGATAAGACATTCTAGTTAGAGGGAAGATAGCATGTGGAAAGTCCCAAAGGCATCAATATGCTGCTGGTGAGGGAGAAGAGGGTAACTACATTCCCACAAGTGTTTTTGGAAGCCTTTATGGAGAAGTTAGATGTGAAACTAAGATTAGACTTTTGTCATTATAGGGAGAGAAGAAGCAGTGATGTTTAGTAAGCTGATATGAAGAAAGGCATTAGAATCACTTCTCCAACATTTCATTTATTACACATGCAGCTCCTGGCACATAGTCAATGTTAAAATATTTGTTGAATGAATGAATGATCTGACCATGGTGTAGAGGGTAGACTGGAAGGGAAGGAGACTGAAGGCACAGTGCTGGGGTATTTGGGAGGCTCTATATCCAGTCTAGAGTGGATATAATTAAACGCCTAATATATAATGACAGTGTTAAAGAAAAAGAAGGAAAGTCTGCCAGACAAAGTGAAAAGATCAATGAATAGTGAATGGGGTGGCGAAAAGAGAAGAACTCCAAAAGAGTGCCTAGATTTTAACCTGAGTTAATAGAAGAATACTGGGGACATGTTTAATTCTAAACAAAAGGAGGAGGTGGTTTCAGTTTGGGCTTATGTTGCATTTGAAATGGGGTGGGATAATTCACACTGAAATTTTCAGCTGATATCTAGAAATACAGATTTGGATGGCGATACATATTGGAAGCCATTTACATATGATCCTTTTATAGAGGCACAACTTGGCCGTAAGTTAAATCTGGAAAATGCTTAAAGAAAACACAAGGTCAGTGATATACAGGTAGAGAGTTTTGTGGTGAAGGGGCAGAAGAGCACCAATACAGAGGCTGTCAGCCTTCATGGTGTGGACAGAAAATAAATGTTGGGGATGCCTGGGTGGCTCAGTTGGTTAAATGTCTGACTCTTGATTTTGGCTCAGGTCATGACCCTCAGGGGCTTGAGATTGAACCCCGCATTGGGCTCCATGCTGGGTGTGGAGCCTGCTTGAGATTCTCTCTCTCCTTCTCTCTCTGCCCCTCCCCTGTCTCTCTCTCTCTCTCTCTCTCTCTCTGTCTCTTTCTCTCTCTCCCTCCCTCTCTAAAAAAAAAAAAAAAGAAAAAGAAGTGTTGACAGAAGTAAACCACTCTCTAGAGATTGTAGGGGTCTACATGTGCCTACAGCAACTGACAGTGGACACAAGATTGTATGCAACCAAGTGTCTGCTTTTGATGTTCTGGACCCTCCTCCAGCTGTCACGGGTGAAGAGGATTTGAGGAATGAAAAAGAAGAGGCAGGGTTTTTTGCACTGTAGAAATAACAACCCTGCAGGGGTGGGGAAACTCACATTAACTACATATCAACTATGCATAAGCACAGGAGCTGGTGTTACAGATTTGGTTTTTCATCCGGTTTGCATTTGATGATTGTGAAAATAGTTTGGTGTGTGAAAAGGGATTGGTGGGATCGGGGCCCGTGGAGACTGGAATGTGTTTAAATAACCACTGTGCAATGTAGCTTAAAAAAAAGACTCCTTTAGGAGACTCTTGCCATCTACCTAAAAAGGAGAGGTAAAAAGTGTTGCTTTCAGGAGCTTCTTTATAACCCCTAATTGTGTTCTTTGTTCTGTTTTTAGGTTTGGCGATGTCTCTTTGCAGGAAAGTATTAATCAGGAAAATTTTGAACTTCTAAAAGAATATTACATGACATTTATGGAAAAGATGCCGCCTGATTGTAAGTATGCCAGTTTCAGAAAGCGACAATAATAATTTCTTGATTATAAATTCTCAGGACAGGTCAGACATAGAGGTCAATGGGAGAAAGATGCACGGGGTAAGGATGGGAGAGCAACTCTGAGATTATCTGAACCAAGGAGACTGATTGCCGAGGTGGCATGGCTGACACCTGCCTTCAGTGCCAGTGAAAATACCAAAAATCTAAAAATAAGGAGCTTATAATTAGAAATCTCAATTGAGTCCAGTAAAAATTTTATATAATTCTTAACCATGTAAAAGACTTTAATAAGTATTTTAACTTTCTGATTTAGAATCTGTATCAGATAGATTGCACATATACAAGGAGAAAATCGGATAGAATACAAGTTGATACAGCTAATAAAAAGTGATATGGACGAAGGGATAATTTATTGAATATAGTGGTTGTGATATTTATATGAAACTGTTAAGGCATCCAATCCTATAGAAAGGTATTTTACACTTCGAAATTTTTTTTTTTTTTTTTTTTGGTCATTGTTCAGTTCTTTTTTCCACAAAATTAAGCACATAACATTTGAGCAGTTCAAAAGCAGAGAATCAAAAATGTGTTTGGATTTCATCGATAAGTAGTATAACTATGTTGAAATATTGAGATATTTACAATGATAAGAAACTTGGTTTTAATAAAGTAGGAAATATTTTAATATTTTTAACCAAAAGCTGTAATAAAAGTCTACCTGTCATCTACTCACTGGCAATTTGTTCACTGATCTGAACTTAATCTGAAATACCTTCGGTGGCAGAGTGTTTAGGACTTTTCATAAACCAATGAATCTTGCATCAAAATATTACAACGGTATATGCAAGTTCAAGTGTGGATAGTTAGAAAAATTCACCTGCAGGTTTTTTTTTCTGCCTGCGGTTTTTATATTATTTTATTTCACATAAAATATTATTTCTATGCCAAAATGAAATTAAGTGCAGGGAGACTTCTTGGCAGCCAGCGTGCTTGTGAATTCTAAATGTAATTACTGAAAAAGTTAATAATACAAACAAAACTATTCTGCATTAGTAACTAATGAAAAGTTTTATTTTAACTTGGATGTGGTAGATAATTTTTTTACAAGTGACCTAAAATTTGGATGGAAGTAATTCTCAGAATTCTTGTAAACAACTCAATTTCTACCAGTCCTTTCAAGGTATGGTCACGGGACCATACAGATTTGGATGGCGATACATCAACATCATCTGGGAACCTGGTAGCAATGCAAATTCTCAGGCCTCTCTGCAGATCTGTTGAGTTTGCCCTGTAGTCTGTGTTTTAATAAACCTTCCACATGATTTCTAATCCATGCTAATTTTTGTGAACCAATGATATGCCATCGTTATTCAAATTATATATTATATTTAAAAGTAGGTTGTTGGCAAAGTCTGTGAAGGACTTCAGTATTATATATTAAACAATTATGTCACCTTAAAAAGAAATATGTATAAGTCATGAGTTATTGCCTGAGATATGAAAATCTTTACATTCAAAAAAAAAAGGGCGCCTGGGTGGCTCAGTTGGTTAAGCAACTGCCTTCAGCTCAGGTCATGATCCCAGGGTCCTGGGATCGAGTCCCGCATCGGGCTCCCTGCTCTGCAGGGAGCCTGCTTCTCCCTCTCCCACTCCCCCTGCTTGTGTTCCCTCTCTCACTGTGTCTCTCTCTGTCAAATAAATAAATAAAATCTTTAAAAAAAAAACAAAAAAACTCCCTACATTCAAGTCACTTAAACTCTTCCTAAGAACAAAAGTTTAAAAAAACCTGAAAACATTAGACCTCATATAATATTCTGCTAATTAAATACAACTAAGTGTGTTTACAACTTGTAAATAATATTTCATCCTTGAAAATAGAGTAGACTTTTGCATCAAACCAATTGTATTTCATTAGTTGGATACTTGTCTTAACACACTGAGTTTTTCCTGATACTTTATTTCCTATTATGTCGACATATTTTTGAGACAACACTGTCATAGGCTTGGCACAGAATTTTGTGATATTACTTTGGTTGTTTTCCATAACAAAAGTCCAAACCTGATCTGTGTTATTATACTGACATATGTAGGGTTAAACCTCATGCATAAATATTGTAACCCAAAGTATCATTTGAGTTGCACTGCATTCAAGGAAGAAACTATAAAGCTTTATTAACAGTGTGAATAGAGGTTAAATTATTTGTAAAGGAGGAAAAAATTACCATGCTGGATCATACCCATAATCCATATAATCTATTATGTTTCTTTCAAAGTGAAATCAAGGGATAATTTGTGTCAATGTTAAGAGGATAAGTTAGTCCTCTAAATGCATGACTTTCACTTATTAATCCATTTTGGATGTGCTGTCCATTAATTTACTAACCCTGTTTTTTTTATGATTTATGAATTAAATAGTTGAAATCTACATGTTTTTGAAGTAAAAACCTTTCCCTTTCTTCCCAAAAGAATTTGTTTTTTTACCTTAAGGGATGTCCCCTACTTTTGTGATATTGGGATTGAATGAATAAATCCATTTCAGCTGATTTGAGAAAACATACATGATAGGAGACTATCCATAAGTATAAGGAAAGAAGGATTGAAGAACCCACAAAAAATGGGAAATTGTTAGAGATTAGGGGTCATCAAACATTGCTGTAGTTAAATGAGAAGGATTTCAGCCAGGACAAGGTAAACAAGAATTAACAAATGTGATGAAGAGAAAAAGATTCAAGAGAAGCTGTTGGATTTGGTGGTTATGAGCAGTGATGACATTCCATGGAGTCGTTTACATAAAAACATGGAATGGAACCACATCAAAGTCATTTAAGAAGAGAACTCGTGTTGTATAAGCAGACAGCCAGAGCGAAAGCCACCCTCCCAGGAAAGTTTACAGTGACTTACAAAGAATGAAAATGCTGAAATCAGTAGAATCAAAGAAGAGGGTTTTTCTCCTTTGTTTCTTTTTAGTTTCATTTTCCAAGAGAAATGAAAATTTTAAAGATGTTGAAATTACAGGACAGTCACGAGGGGCTAAGGATCTGCTCTGCACCCTGCCTAGATGTTCTACAGATGGGTGCGTGGATCTAGCCAGAAAACCCATGAGGGGCCCCAAGAAAGAGCAGAGGACTATGCCTCCCATATGATACAGAGATAGAACTTTACTCAAGAGGAAAGAAGGATCATTCTGGCTTTTAGGAAAAGAAATCTGCCATGCCTGGCTGAAGCCCCTGTAACACCTGAAATCCAATACAAGGTCACAGATAATTCTTTAAGATTGGTGTTCTGAATATATAAGGTTTGGAAAGAGGCCGAAGTGTAGTTTAGGCCTGCTGGTCCACCACTGTCTGTCAGGTCTTTCTGGTCCTTTCTGGTAGCTTCAGAGGAAAATGCCTCGAAAAGAGTTTTTTCACAAGCACTATACTCACTTTAGAAACCAGATTAGTCATGGTTTTCCCTGATATCCTGTCAAATTCTTTTAACATCATTATTAAAACATTATTCTTTAACTACAATTTGTAAAAGCTGTGCATGAATGTCAAGCACTCTGACGTTTAGTTTTGCTGGCTAAGACTTAGTTAACAGAGTGCAATTTATTTAAACCAAAACATTTCTGTGTCCTTTGACCTTGTATTTTCAGTTAATATTTTACATTTTTAGCATTTTTATTTATCTTACCTCTCATTTTAAAAAATAGACCAAGGGAGCAAAGCTGGTTCAGTGAAGGATAAAATTAGAAAGAACATTATAATATTAAAACTCAAAATAATGTGAAATATAAAAGTAACAGGACTCCATTAGGACAAGAAAATGTTCATATGAGAAGATTTCCCAGAAGTAGGTGAAAAAGAAAAGCTTAACTATGAATACAGTGTTGAATATCTAAAATCAGATTTTGTTAAGTCAGAAAATAAATCAACTCACCCTTCGTATCTAATACTTTGTCTTTTAAAAATATTGCCATATAGCCATTGAAAATTCAACAAGAGTTTTCAAACATAAGACAGAACTCTAGTAAATCTATAATTTTCTCTAGAACAAGTATGTGGTAATAGTTTCCTGAGTAAAATTATTGGATTTTGTTTCTCTACAAAATGAAAAAGCAAAACAAAAACAAAACAGCTACCAAAGTATCATTCATAATTGTACTTTATGTAAAATAAAATTACAGATGGATACACATCAGACTGTTGCTAAGAAACAGACAACTAGCTACACTATGTACAACACATACTGTGCTCTGGAAGAAATCAGTACTAGGTCTTGGCAAACTTCTTTAGCTGATCACACTGTTGGGCTTCCCATATGGTTCAATACCATAGAGTGTGGGAGGGCAGTGGCTGGCTCACAGGCTAACAGGTTACCTTGTGTTACGAATGGATAAAATCACAGAGGAGCAGCATATAAATCAGTCCTTGGAATATTGAGCATATGTCAGAGAGAAGAATCGCACCACATTTGCTCTGTTTATTAATGAAAATTAAGGCTACTTAAATGGATATTTCCTTTAGTTAGTAATTATATTGTGAACTCTGGTTGCAGACCAGAAAATATGTGATGTAATCAATGCAGACAGCATCAACTATGTGTGCCACATAGATGGGCAATGCTCCATAAGCAAAATAGGGTGCATCTGAGTATCAGTCCACTTACTGTTTATTTACTTAAAATTGGAGGCCACGTGTGTTGACACTTGCAACATGGCTCACTGCTGCCACAAGTTTAAATGTGCTGCCTTTAGTTTTTCAGAACAAGTGGTGGGTATTTCTGGCCCCTGCTTTTCAGAGCCCTCTATCCTTAGACTACCATCCATCCTGAGCCTGGCTTGCCAGACCTCAGCAGGCTCTGGAAATAATCTCAACTTATAAAATGAGAAATGAGGTAAGGCAGATATCTCAAAAGACATTAACAAACACATGCACAGACATGGAGTTGCGCACACACACACACACACACACACACACACTCACGCACACACCCCACTAGATGCCTTCCAACAATCT